TACTTTTAACTGTTTGCTGGTTTTATCGGTACTACAAGTTCCTGACTGCCCAGAAAACTTGCTATGCTTTTTGTCAGATTCTGTCATGTAAAAGACAAACATCCGGAAAGCAACGAGAAAGTTCTGAGTAAGCTTTCTTATGCTTTAGAACCCTTTAACTGTGAGAAACAGTGGCAATGCAAGTAGCAATAAAAGCTAAAAGCACCTTAAAATATGCTCACACATCTTGCATAACTTTTCAAGAACTGAAAACTCTAGAATTAGATTGGCATCTTACAGCAAACTTAAAATGCAAATCTACAATTTCTTTATCACATCAGTGTTTTTAGTTTATGCAAATAGTCTCATTGTCTTTTATGGTCTTATTTGCAAAAGTTAAAATAACTTGCATGAAATTGTATTTGCAGGCTCAGAACCATATTTTTGCCTAGAAAGCAAAACATTTATTTTTTGTAAAATCTTCTACAGTGTAACAGTGCAGTGTTTATTCACAAATACTTGGTTTGGAATTTTAAACCAGGCTGTAAATTTAGGACATACATCACAGCTAATTTTTGTCATTGAAGCTCTAAACACACAGGAGGGCATATGAACAATAGTGAACCTTAGTTTATTTGGCAATAATTGAGTTCATGATGATATATATTTTTTCCATGGTGTACTCCCTATAAATCCAACGCCCATATTTTAATTATACAGAGAAAGCTGATACTATGCATCAGTGATCAGGTTAAATTTAATGGTACTACCTTATGTCTGAAGAGTTCCTGTGTTATAATAAGACATTTCTCTCATGTTTAACACATTGGCAGAGTCATTCTTTTACTTCTTATACAAATGTAAACTTAGAAAGCAGTTTATTTCATCCAAATGTGCAATCTGAAATCAAAAACTGAATGTAAACTTCAGAAAATCAAAATTACAAGAGCACACTTTTCACAAGAAAAATCAAAGTAAAACATTTGGAATTAAAAAAAAAAATCAGCCTGTTCAATCCATGGTGTTAGTGTCTGTATAAAACAAAGAGGCCTGGGGGCTCAACACTCTGCTCCTGCAGACTGGTGTCACCCACATGAACTCAGTGGAATACAACAGTTTGTAGCAGCTGAGGAGGTGGTCCCACGCCTAACCAAAAGAGGACTTAAAGAGTGATCTGATTTTTAAAGCTTGCTTTTATCATCTTACTGATTCTACACTTATGTATTCATACCAGATAATAATCTTAAGAGCTGCAAAATGTCAGACATTTAATTAGCTCTGAGTGCCTTGCTGAACAATAAATATACTGCAAAAAGAGTAGTACATCATACACCTGGTAACTTGTTCAAAGCATATCTTTTTTCAGTTTTCTTTTCCATAGTTTACCTCAGCATATTTTTTAACTTCAAGTAAGAGAGAGAACAAGTTTTCCCACAATTATTCTACTCAAAGAGCAAAAATTAGTGGGTTTTTTTTTTCAGTCTGCTTAATATCAGGCAGGATTCTGTTCTGACTTCTGCTTTTGCAATAACTTACCTACAAGTTTCATCTTTGCTGTGCACTTGAGGTCTTTCAGAATTGTGGCTTGAACAGCCATAAGACCAGGCTAAATCAGGGTATCACTACCAGTTCCCATGAAACTTTGTACTTAAGTGATGTGAAAGAGTCAATGACTTAGAAATTAGAAGATAATTTTTGCCAATACACTCTATTCTGCAAGTCAGTGGGTGTTGTACATATTTTCTAGAACTGTGGAATTCTGCACAGAATTTGGCACTCGACTCACAGGATGTTGAATTCAGTGATCAGTCCTGAGTAAAGATTGAAATCCCCAAAATCGGCCACACCAGTAAGATTTTTCTTTCAACAAATCTGAATCCAGATGTGATGTAGCAACTACAAGCAGTTGTAACTCCACTACGGAGGAGTTCTGCCAAAACAGTTACCTGGGCTCAAATGAAGAAACAGTTACTGGACTCCAAATGAAACTGTAGGCAATGAAGAGGCTTGACGCTGCATAGTTACGTGATGGAACTTAAGCTGCTCTTAAAAGCGCAACCTGTGAGTTGTAGCTTTGCTTTCTCAGACAAGGACTGCCTGGATGCAGAGGCTGCTCTCTCAGACTTCTCTTAGGGGTTGCAATAGAGTTACATTTCTCCCCCCGAGCTTCACCTAACAGGAAAAACCATCTTTTAGAGTTTTCCAGTAGTTACTCTGGCTGAAAATACCATATATTCCACAAAAGCATCTGAATTTTCTGCAGGTCTAACCACAACACACATTAACTTGAAAAGGTCAGCCTAGGTCTCAGTTGATCCTAAGTTAAATCTACCTCTCTTACTATTTTTTTATATACAATATGGATGCAATCCTGCAGGACACACTGTGAGGGTAGCATTAAAGTAAGGGCTGCAAGATGCAGAGCTCAGTCAGACAACATCAGTTTTGCTCTCAGGAAGTGAGACAAAAAAGCACACATTCCAGGTGGCCTGGTTTATATAAATACACTCCAGAAAGACTTTGACTTCGTTCTTCAGAAGCGCAGAACAAAGGAAAATGCAGCCCATAAACTCTGATGTACTAAAATACAGAGATGTATATATTGCATTATTTCAGCAATGTCGTTAACTGGCATTTATCAAAACTTACAAAACTGCTACCATAGATGCTAGTAAATCTAAAAATTTTGAATCTTAATTTCCACCTTTGCTTACATCTAGGCAACTTCATCAACTTTAGTCTGTGTTCAGCATAGTTGCATGGATACAATAGAAAGCAGAACTTGGCTTTTAGTTTTCTTGCAGAAAGCATTTTTATGGCTTATAACACAGAAAATCCATGAGAGCATGCCTGAAGCTGAATACCTAATAATAAATATCTTTATTGTACTACTACACATCGACTTTTAATGCAGTTGCTGCCCTTAAGATCCATGGGAGCAGAAGGACTTCTTCAACACAAGGTTCAACATAAGCAGGACAAGGAAGTCATGAGAAAATATGCCCAAAGACTGCAGAACAGCGCTTCTGATCATGAGAAGCTCTTTGTGACTACCCAGAAAGCAGTAAAAATGTTTCATCTTGAGTAGTGGGAATATATTTTGACCGTTGAATAAAATAAGCACACTTAGGAAAACATTTAACAGCAGAAATAACTGGTATTGTTAACTACTTGCTACAGGTTGACCCTGCTTTGCCTGAGTAAGGACTGCACTGCCAGGCCAAACACTTTGAAAATGCAAAGGGCTATCCCAGTGTGTTTGATTGCTCTTTTCCAGTTACAGTACTTTCGATTTATAGCAGCAACAGGACTGACTCCAAGCTTTAGTTCTTTTGGATTTTGCTTAGAACAGAAGCTCAGCCCAATTCCATATTCCTTCTGTACCGAAACTCTCCTGAGCCTATTCAGGCATGCAGAATTCTAACATCTTGTTAAGGAAAGACAGAGCCTGCTGAAAGGAAAGCTGCACCTTACAAAAAAAACCCCAGTACTTTCCTTCACCCATTTTAAGGGACACATACATTTTTCAAAAGCAGGATTTCAATGTCTTTTCTAAGGCCCAAAATCTAAATTTCTTCCGGCTCCCAAAACTTCATGTGAATGTTAGTCTTGCTTGAATAAGGCCTGCAACATCCATTCCCAAATATTGCCCCTTGTTAAATTGAATGGAAATTCTGAAAGTGACTTCAGTCGGATCAGGATAGACCCTTCAGCCACCAGGTTGCCCAGATATTTTAGCCACCTTTTCTGCAATACAATATTATCTAAGTCTGTTTTTACTGACTTAAAGACACTACAGATTGATGTTAAACGGTACACAACAGGAAATAATGTTGCTTTGGGAATTTCACCATTAGTAAGTTTCTTTCCTCTTACATTTTCTTGTAAGGTTAAAGATCAAACTCAAATTATTAAGTACACCGTCAAGTAACTTTAAACCTACAGATTATTCTCAAAATGTTCAAATACTTAAAAATAAGCACTCAAGTTTACTTCTAAAAAGCATTTTTCCAACAAACTTAAGCTGATATCTAATAGTCTAAAATGCAGAGCTGTACTTTATCCTAACTGTTTGCTCACGGGCAATGTATGGGGCCACAGTCTATTGAAATGATAATCCTTGCTTTCTGAAGAGAAATTGTTCTGTGCAATAATTTCTGAGGTGTGGTTTGAATTCCTGTCCTCCTGTAAGCAGTTGTAGAAGTCAGCTAAAATTATAGTCAAACATGCTCAAACATATTTGCAGGCTTATAAACATGGTGTGATCATGGTTGGCAAACACCGGATAGAAGGTCAAACCAAACACTTCCTAACAGGTCAAGAGTTAAAAAAAAAAAAAATATGGAAAGAAGAACCTCAAAAATCTATTCCAGGGGTTCCCTAAACTTTGCCTGGCCGAGGACCGCATGGGTGACTTGCCATGAACACAAAGGCTTCATTAAGTCATGTTAAGTGGAAGAAACTGAGTTACCTTTAATACGGCAAGCTGGTCCGTAGACACAACAAGTGCCAACAGGCAATACACCACCCTGATGTTTGCCATAGGGCTACCATAGGGTAAGATTTAAGAGGAAGAAAGCAAGTCATTGCATCTGCTCATGTGAAGCTTCTGGGAAAGAGCTGAAGTGAAGCAAGGGCAAGAGAGAGATGACAGCCAGGTGCATGGGGACTAGGGATGTTAGCACTTTTCTCAGATGAAAGTCGGCCTCAGGGCACACAACCAGCTAACATTGCCCCCTGCTATGTGTGCAGGCCTCCCCTACGGCTGCCCTCCAGAGATCTGCCGTGAACATGAAGGAAAGTGGGACTGGTCCCCCGGCCCACGGGCTGCGCTTCGGTCACCCCTGACCTATTAGAAAATGTTGATAATTTTCCCCACTACAACTCACAGAGTGCAAAAACAGCAAGCGTCTAAGTTTGAAGCCCAGGCCTTCTCACCCACGCCAGGCCTGGCCTCCCCGGGCAGCTCCCCTGCCCACTCCGCCTTCCAGCACCTGCTCCCCCGAGCACGGGCGACGGCCTTACACGGCCAGGTCGTCTGACCGGGCTCTGCAGCTGCTCGACTTACTGGCCCTGCTCAAGCGCCGCGTGTCTACGAGCAGCGGTGGCTCGTGCATCTCCACCGTGGTGCAGGCAGCCGAGACGGGCCGTGCCCCCGACAGCTCCACCTCGCCCTCCACATCCCACTTGCTGCCGCTCGCCCCGCTCAGGCTGGTGCTGCTGCCGCTGTTGGCCACGGCCACGGGCAGCGCAGCCGGGGGTGGGAGTAGCTGCTCCAGTGGCTCTTCCTGCTCAGGAAGGGGATGCCGGACGCTGCTGGGGGTAGAGGAGCCTTCTGAGCTGGAGGAAACCTTGCCCTGGTGCTCGGCTGCCATGTTGACCCAGTTCTGCTCGGATGGCAGGGCACGGCTGCTGCTGTTGAAGTAGTTGATGACGGCTGGCGTGGGCGTGGGGATGGGGGTCGGGATGGTGACGGGAGTGGAGATGGGTGTGGGAGTCACGGCACGGTGCCTCTCCTCAGCAACTTGTGGAGCAGCAGGGTAGCTTGCCATGGACGTCGTGTTGGAGGGGGGCCGTGGTCTCGGAGCAGCTGTAGCGTAGTAGGATGCCATGGTCACTGGGGCCAGCAGCGGTGTGACAGCGCGGGTGTCAGGCAGAACAGGGGCCGGCGTGGCAGTCGTGACCACCACAGGGGGTGCTGGTGGCGGCAGGGAAACAGGTTTGGACTCCCCTGTTACCATAACTGGCGTCATTGTCGCAACAGGCATCTCTAGGATGTACTGGCTTGTCATGCCCTGCTTAAGCTTCTTCCACCCCAAGTGATATATCTCGAGCATGTTCAGCAGCAGGGAGACTGAGGCCACCACCAACATGAAGATGATGAAGATGGTCTTCTCAGTGGGCCTCGAGATGAAGCAGTCCACGGTGTGTGGACAAGGTGAGCGACTGCACTGGTAGACCGGCTTTAGCTCGAAGCCATATAGGAAGTACTGGCCCACAATGAATCCCACCTCGAACAGTGTCTTGAATATGATATTGAAGACGTAAGTACGGAGCAAGGCACCCCCCATACGGATTCTACCACGTTCATCACGGATTGGGAGCTTCTCTTTCCCCCTTTTGACAATAGGTTGATCTTTGACGTTATTGCTGCCTCCTCCACCTCCAGATGCTGCTGCTACTGGGTAGTTGCCATCTTTGCTGCTTCCCTTCTTTTTCAGCTCCTCTTTCTCTTTCCTCTTCTCCTCCATGCGTACAATGTGCAGGACATGGCCCAGGTAGATGAGGGTTGGAGTGGAGACAAAAATGATCTGCAGCACCCAGAAGCGGATGTGAGAAATGGGGAAGGCTTTGTCATAGCAAACATTTTCACAACCAGGTTGCTGAGTGTTGCATGTAAAGTCCGACTGCTCGTCTCCCCAGACCTCCTCAGCAGCAGCCCCCAGCACCAGGATCCTGAAGATAAACAGTACTGTCAGCCAAACCTTGCCAATAACCGTGGAGTGCTCCTGCGCGTTCTCTAACAGTCTCCCCAGAAAGCTCCAGTCACCCATTGCTTCCGATTTCTAACCTACAACAAGAACACCAGAGCAATGTTAAAACATCTTATAATTACACAAGGCTGGGGCAGAACAGATTGATCCTCCACAAATGATATTTCTTAAGGCTACTTGCCTTTGCTGAACTAGATAACCCTGTGACCACACAACCATGGGCTTTGGTGAGCACAGAAGGGAGATGCTTAATGCTCTCACAGAGCCCATACTGGCTCAAGTGCCTATACACAACTGGCAAGAAGCATTCCTAAGTCAGAATTTCTACAAGGCTTAAATATTAAAAAAAACCCATTAATTCTGTTTCCTCTGTCTGAGATGGCTCTAACTGCTCCTGCTTATATTCAGAAAAGGTAGAAATGATATCAATTAAACAGAATAATCCTACTGTTCATGCAAATGCACTGGTATTCAGATGCAAAGTTTGCCTAACTAACTGTTACCAGAACTTATTTACTCCAGCAATCAGGAAGTTAGTAATAGGTCTCTGCTATTTTCAAACTGCACAAACACAGAGAAAGAATTACTCAAAACCTACAGAATTTGAAGATGAATTTTGGAACATGTACAACTCAGCAAGCATGTTCTCAAAGCCTAATCTTGTTCAAATTTGTTTATTTCTAAAAAATCCCAAACATTTTAGTAACTTGAAGTATTGGGAAGAATGACAAATTCTGAGAGGAATGGTGAAAAAGCTTCTATGCCATTTCCCATGCTGTCCTGGCACTTGGTGTTACTGAACCGTAACTACTGCAACATCACTAAAACAAAACAAAACAAAAACCAAAACAACAAACTCAAGGTCATTTTAGCAACTATATACAGATACTTTCTTGGAAAAAAAATAGAATTACATCCTATGACCTTACTTCTGTGACAAAAAATTGGCATATATTCTCAGCAGTTTCCACCAATTCATGTATGATGGGTCTCCCATGTCCAATTCTAGGCAGAGACACAATTGCTGATTTGGAAAGGCTTAAAATGCAAGATTTTTTTTGATATGAGATTCCTCACAAGCTTCCTCCAATTGAGAAACAAGAGAAATCTCCTGGTATCATTTCTGTTATCCTTGGCCTGTTCCTAACTGGATTATATGTAAGAATACTGGAATATATGTAAGAAGTACAATACATTCCCCTAATAAACTCACTTCTGTATTTCATATGGCAACCTTAAACTAAAAACAATATAAAAAATTTTGCTTTCAGCTAACTTCAATACCTAGTGTCATATTTGCAATTCAGATTTAACAATTTACATTTTAAAAAACCACTATCAGAAAAGTAATTATCTTCTTGTTTAAAAATCTTAGAATATTTTATACATATAACTTAATTACATCTTACTATGCTTATACTTCTCATCCAAACACCTGGATGTCTTACAACTCCCAAAGAAAAAAAGCTGTTCATCACTACAGCTAGGAAATTACCACTGAAGAAGTGTACTTTTCTCATCATTATATGAGTGCAATTTCCAGTAATTATGTCACTGTTTTTCCAAAAGAAGTACTTCCAAAGTCTGTCCTGAACTTCTTTCAGGCTTTTAGTTAAGGCAACAAAAGAAATTAGATTTATTTAAGGTACTTTTTATAACTTGATTTTACGGTGAGGCAATGAAATACCTATAACTGCGAGTAATATGCCTTCACACAAAAAGCAACAACACACCCGTTAGTATCTTGCAGTTCTATAAATCCTGGTATACTAATTCATCTTTTATCACACAGAATTAATTTAATAATACCTCCCCCTAAAAATACATCTTCAAAAACACACTCCCTTTAATATAAGTGATTTTTTTTTCCCAACATAACATGATAAAATTACAAACGATGATACTAACAATGAAATACTGATTTTGTGTACGTATGTTCCCTGTCCTGAAACAGTTCTTTAAAATATATTCAGATTCTTTTTGAAGAATATATTTTTTCTCCTCTTAAAACAGTAGCCCAAAGCTGAATACATTTTATTATAATATTTTTACAGTCTTAATTTGTTTGTATTATTTTAAAATGTATTCATCCATCTTAATTTCATACAGTTTAAAATATTTTGGATGGTTAAGTAATTTTAATCTTGACAAATAATAATTTTTAGAGGAATAGTGAATTCATTTTTTTCACTAAAATCGTTTGAAGATATTCTCAGTTTAGTTCCAGCTTTGAACAGAACTAAACTGTTGTTTGGGCATGTTTTCATTATGAGTGGGAAAATGTAAGAAAAGCAAAATAAATTATATGATATTTGATGGATTAAAGAAGTTTAGCATAAACCCAAGTTTTCTCTGCTATTCTTTACACTGTCCCTCTCTGCTCAATACTCTCTGCCTCACTCTTTATTTTCCATCCAGATCAAACAAAATAGGCAGCTCAGGTAATGACCAGGCAATGATGTTTACAATGAAAACAGGACATTTTGTGCTTTTCTGAGGATTTATCTACTGATTAATAGAACAACAATAACAATTTTTAAAACTTAACGATGACAAATAATAAATCCATCTAACTCAATCATTTTCCAATCACTAGTACTACTCGAGAATTTTTTTCTTCTTACTATAGGTCAGCAATGCCCAGCTGAGTTAATTCAGGACACATTCATGAGTTAAGACATGACACAATGCACTTCTCAGAGGATATACATAAAAAAAGCTATTTTAGTGCTTAAATTAGTTAAAATATTTACTTCTGCATATTAGAGTGTGCAAATTTATCCTGCACAGCAAGAGAAAGTGTTTAAGCAGTCAGCAGATACTTCACAGCATCTTAACTGCACAGAGGTGAAAATTTTAGTGCATTCTTTAGTATGAACTGCAGCAACTGTTGCTTTCACCACAAATTGTCCATAGTATATAAATACTGGAAGGACATAATTTCCAATACAAAGTGGCTGGAAAGTTCCCAGAAATCCAGGTTCTGTGTCTTTCTTCAATGTCAATACATTCTTCAGTGAGCAATTCTTAAGGCCAATGTAACCCATCCAAAAATCCCATTAACAAGTGCAAAGGGGTGCCTTGATACAAATCATTATTAAATTACATTAAAAGAATACAGAATGTTCACAAAGCTCAGAGAATATCTGATTTTTCCATATTAAATTCAACGATACCTATGTCTAAATTTAAACAACTCAGTATTTTAGCTGAGAATAATCCCAAGCTTGCTTTTGTAGTATTGTATAAAATTCATCTGTATAGTATTACTTTCAGTGCTACAAAGACAGGCAACTGTTAAGACCTAATCTTCAATATGGATTGTGAAAGGAGACATTTTTTCTTTTTGTGCTTGGAAAAAAATGCCGATTAAGAAAAGAAACATCTTTATCTGCATTTCATGATGTCCATGAATACCCACAAGGGAATGACAAAGAATCTGTCTCAGAAAACAATCTAATTCAATGGTATGAAAAGCAAGGACTTCATGAACCTTCGTATCAGTTAATAAGAACTGGGAGTCTTGTATTATTTGGTGCATTTTATTGTATTGTATTTCTTGTATTAGAAAATCATCCCTTTAAGACCACACTAAAAGTGGACAATCATAAAAATTGACGTGGCGTTTAAGAATCGATGTTGTGTTATTAATTACGAGTACATGCACACACTTTGCATGTAACAAAGAGAGCAAGCAAGTGAGAATAAATTTTAGAAGTTGCAATGTTGTATCTGTCCCTCTGCAGAAGAATAATTACAATGTGACATCGACAAACTTTCCAGTTATTTTTATTTCTGATGATGTCACTGAAGAGGTTCATCACTATGTGCACTAGGTGTGCAAAATTTGACATTTTATTATTTATAAATTTACGTAAACATGTACATGTTTATGTTTTTATATACATATATGCACACAAAAAAGTACACAGCTGTATTACATACATAACCAATTATGACATTTGATGTATTTATTATTTCATTATACTAGTACATCCAAAAAATGTTCCATAGCAAATATTTAGAAACTTAACAGATATCCTTATATCCTATATGAGATATCCTTATATCCTATCTTATATCCTATATATTGTCTGAATACAATTTCTTAAATTCAGCCCCCATTTCCTTTAATTTCTTATGACAGTCTAAAAACTTGGGATTTAGATTTTTTCTTCAAACTTATCTCTATTTTATAAAGCAGTATGACAAAAAAAGGCTGTTAAAACAATTTGCAATATTTAATTTGTTTTTACACTAAACAATCAGGCATCTCCACCACTACCAGGTTCTTAACTCTGCTAACTGACATCAGACAAAAGCAGACATCCTGCAGAAAGTCTGCAGCATGACCATGTAATTCCAGACAAATGTGCCATACGTGCAGGCACAGAATGAGTTACTATCATTTCCAGTGAAACTTTATTGTATTTGGCCATGGACATATCTATGAAACACAACGGTGAGTGTTGCATAAGTCACAATAGAAGTTTCACAGTTCATTTTATAAACTTGTTTAAATCAGGATTTGAAAAATACCTTTCTCATACTCCTAGCGTCAAATTTTCAGACACATCTATCACTGCTCTCATTGTATTTTAAACACTTGTTAAGAATTAATTCCTTAACTGATCTTGTTATTACCTTGAACTTACTTTACTGCTATGCAGCCTCCTCCTTAAATCCCAGGCAAAACTTCTTTTGACTTCTTCTTGACTCCACTTGACCTCTGAGTGAAAGTTTGTCCTGAGTAAAGGAAAAGTGCAAGGAGTGCAGAGCTGAGCCCAGGAGGAGAGCTACATCCCACCTGTTAAACTCCTCTGTTCCCTGCTGGAGCCCCTGCCCTGATTCATTAGCCACAGGAGAAAAACAGGAAAAACAAGCAACCCCTTTTCTCCCCCAGAATACTCAAATGCCATCTTAGAGCTGTACATGGGAAGGAAAAGACAGTGACTTACCTGTAAAGCTGAAAGGTGCGAAGGGTGTGGAGCTACCGGGGGACTGCGGAACAGCCGTGGAGCATGAGGGCAACAGTCCTACATCCCGAGTGAGTGAAGCATGAATGAGACAGAGCTGTCAGGTGCCCACAACCATCAGCCAACAGATCTAAAGACTGCACCGTGAGGAGTGTCCCGCCCCCCGCCCCAGATATACAAAGGAAGGATGAGCCTTTCTGACATTCAAAGATTCAAGACCTTTTTCCACTGCAGAGAAGCAGGGACTCCAGCGTTTGAGTATCTGTCTGAGAGGACTTCAGGCAAGTTAAAGTGACTGCAAGGGAGACCCTGTTCAAACTCCTTAAAGTACACTTTTGTACTATGGAAACAGCTTACATTTTTTCTAGTTTAATTCTAAAACGCTCCAGTAGGATTCTCTCATTTCCCTTTAAATAAAAGAGGTAAATACCTCTAGTATCTCTGACTACTCAGTTCAATTCATTCTTCGTATCTGTGTCCGTGTTCTAAAGACCTAACCCACTAAGGATTTTTAATAACACGCTAGGCTGATATGATTTGTTCAGTGTGTCAGCAGTGAACCCAAATATCTTTTTGCCTACAGGAAAAAAAAATACACAAATGAAACAAATTTTTTGCTTGTAACAAGGGCAAATTTTTACTTCCTCAAGCTTCATACCTTCCTAAGAATATTTATTCATCTCAATACTTTGCATCACTTTTGAGTCCTAAGTGAACAAGTGAGTAACTCTCAGACCAAAGATGTGAACAGGGTGAGAACAGCCTGGTCAGTGCAGGGAGGCCACCCGGCCGTTTCCCCACTGTCAGTAAAAAGTGTTTGCATGGGCCAGAAAACTCAGAGTTCACCTCAAGGAATCCCGGAACCACCTCGGGTTATGCTCGTGAGCTCCATCATTCTCTGCAGCACCACCTTACAAGGCTGAAAGAAATTCTGACTCTGCTTTATAAAGACTTAACTTTACTTCAAGTGTACAAAACCGGCTTGATGTGCACACCAATGTTCACATGTGAGTGGCAACTTTTAAGGAAGATATTACACGCCCCTACACAACCATCCTGGATATTAATACTTGTTGCTTTGTCCTCCACTGCATCTTCTGAGGTATTTGGTGAAGTTTGGACACTTCTCCCTGCCACACCAGGCTCAGTTACCGTCCCATCTGCGAGCGCCGCTGCCTGCAGAGGGTTCCGTGAGTGGGGCAGGGACAGACGGACACCCACGCCAGGATCCCTCACCAAGGTACTCAGAGCAGTAGGGCCCCTACCACGACTCCTCCTCAGCAGCATGAGCAGGCTCGGCCCCGCCCTGCCCTTCCCTGGCGCCCATCCCACGGCCGGGGGACACGGCGAGCGGGCAGAGGCCGCGGGCAGGCTCCCGCCCCCAGCGCCGGCTCCGAGCCTGCCCGCGTCCGTGCCTGGGGCCGAGCGGCGCAGCCCGGGGCCGCTCTACTTACGCTTGGCGGGAGGAAGGCTTTTTAAAGCGCCAAAGGCGCGACTCGTTCGGAAGGGTCCGGGCGGAGATGGCGCACAGGTCGTTTAAGCGGGAGGAAGAGGCGCCCCCGAATTTGGTTGGGCTGTGGCAGAAGCGGCGGGAGCCCGTGCCCAGTGCCCTGTTCCCAGCGCCGTGCCCTGTTCCCAGCGCCCTGCCTGCTGCTGCCCGCGCTCCCCGCCCGGCGCCGGCACCTCTGGCGGCCGCCCCGCAGCCCCCGGGCACCCGGCCCTCCCTCTCCCCTCCCCTCCCTTCCCCGCCTCCCGCCGCGGCTTCACACGGGACGGGACGGGCCGGCAGCCCCTCTCCTCACCCGGAAGGCTCCAAGCGGATTGTCCGCCTGGAATTTAAAATGTTTGTCACTGTGCACATGACCCATCCCACCTGCGCGGGATTTCCTGGGAAATGAAAGAGCTTCTTTCCCGCTGAGGAAAGAAACCCCTCCCCGTCCCGCCGGGAGCGGGAGCCGCTGCCCGCCCGCTCGGCGCCGCCGCCCGCAGGATGCGCTGCGTGAGCCCCGGCACCGCGCTGGGAGAGCGCCGCGCCCCGGCCGCCGGCTGCACGGCCCTCCTCCGTCCCGTGTCACAGGTACCTGAGCAAAAGAGGAAAAAAGCCCCACCAAAACAACCGAACGAGGGTTCGGTTCTTCTTCACCAAAACGAGGGTTTTCTCTGTGAGAGCAGATAAATCTTGCATGTGGTGCCTGTGTGTCCTGCATGAAGAGACCCAAAGGGCTGCCAGCCCCTCTCTTCTTTCCCTCAGGGTCCCTCCTCAGCCAGGATCAGCTGTCAAGCTGTTGTGTGCAAAACTTTTGGAAAAAGAAAAAACAACCTCCCCCCCAAAACAGAGATCAGTTGTCACTGTTCTGAAAGTTATTTAGAAGTAGCTCTTGACATTTTCAGCATAAATACTCAAAAATATTACTATCACCTGTATTTTGGTTAGGCTATTGTGTGTTCTGTGGTGTTGCCCCAGGGAAAGGAAAACAGCCACACAGCCTGGGCAGTATCTAAAGCAGAGTGGGAGGTGGTTCTGCTCAAAGCAGGTCGAGGGAGGTGATTCTCCCCTGCTGTTCTGCTCTCATGAGACCCCACCAAGAGTTCTGCATCCAACTCAAGGGGCCCCCACCATAAGAAGGATGTGGATCTGTTGGGAGTGAGTGCAGAGGAGGGCCATAAAGATGATCAGGGGGCTGGAGCACCTCTGCTAAGAAGACAAGCTGAGAGAGTTGGGGCTGTTCAGCCTGGAGAAAAGGGTCTAGGAGACCATACAGCAGCCTTCCAGTCCCTAAAGGGGTCTACAAGAAATCCAGAGAGGAACTTGATACAAGAGCATGTAGTGACTGGACAAGGGGGAATGGCTCAAAACTGAAAAGGGGTAGATTTAGATTAGATTTTAGAAAGTCTTTAGTGTGAGAGTGGTGAGTCATAGGAACAGGTTGCCCAGATAAGTTGCAGATGCCCCATCAACAGAAGTGTTTAAGGCCAGGTTGGATGGGGCTTTGAGCAAGATAGCCTAGTAAAAGGTGTCCCTGCCCTTTGCCAGGGGGGTTGTACCTAGATGATCTTTAAGGTTCCTTCCAAACCAAACCATCCTATGGTTCTATGGAAGAATGACTTAAAGTGGCATGATGACTCAAAAACTCTTCACCAGTAACATATGAGTTTCTCTTGATAGCTACTCTACAAAGAGCTAGAAACAGAACCACACCAGTCATTCCCAAGGCTTTATTTAGTAAAAAAAATCCAATAAAAATTTTGAGGCACTTTGAGGAGCTGTGTGTAGCAGAGAACTGTTGAGAATCTGAATCTGCCCATGCCCATGTTCTTGTATTCTTGCACTGCTTGATTGGTCCCTGTAAATATTTCAGCTGAAAGCACTAGAGAGGAAGATCTCTGTTGACCCTAAGCACTAGAGGTGGCACAAGGTCAAATGACTGTTCAGAGATGGGTGATATCTGAAACACAGTGCTGCCATGATTGTAAGTTTATCACAGGATATCACAGGGTTGATCCTGAAGCACTGAGGCATGAGAGGCTGTGTTAGGGTACAGGATGGAATCCTAGCAGCTACAGTAACTCCTAACATTAAAACTTTCCTTATGAAGTGAAGTCTCTCAGCTCCTAAATTTTAATAGCATGAAGCACTGGGTGTTTCTCTGATGGCTTTTTCACTCTCTGGAAGTTTCAAGTGGTATTTCCCACTATCTGGTCAAACTGGCCTTGATAATATTCTTACTCAGGAGGGCAGTGAGATTCTAGAGCATCCTTTTAGTAGTTCCACAGAAGGTTTTTATGATAGAATCCTTTACATTTCAAACTAAGAGAAGCCGATGCAGTGCCTGCCTGACATGGGACTACACCCATCAGCTAAGAATTTTCTTTCCAAGAATTCTCTTCCGGGTTCATACAAGAGGTTTGGTTTGTCAGCAAAACCCTCTCGGTCATTTGTCGAAAACAGGACAGGCAAGGATGCAAAATTCATGGGGAAAACTTAAAAGAAGCAGTTTTAAAAGTGAAGAACCAATTATGTACTGGTGGAAGCCCAAGCATGAAAGCATGTTGAGGACATGACTTGTTAGTCATATACTAGAATAGGAGAATCTGTAGAAAAAAGTAGGACTTGTCTCCTTGAGGAGTTTATTCAGAAAGAAAACAGGCTCAGATTTAGTTAATGGTGTTCAAATTGTCTCTTTATGTGGACTTTCTGAGAGAAGGATTTCCTTGGAAGAGCCATCCTGCTAGTTTCCTCACTTTTCTTTAAAGAAACACAGCACTACTAGTTCTCATTATGTTTTAAGGGTTCTCTCCATTGGCATTAACACTAGACAGCTACATACAAGGTGACATTAAATTTTTTAGGTTAAAAGGTACACCTACAAATTTTTCAGCCTTCCTTTAATTTACACAGAATCACAGAATGGTTAAGGTTGGAAGGGACCTCTGGAGATCATCCAGTCCAACATCCTTGCCAAGGCAGGGTCACTTACACCAGGTTACACAGGAATGTGTCCAGCTGGATTTTTAATCCCTCCAGAAAGGGATTAATTATCTTCTTTAGTACCATCTTTTGTCTTCTGTCCAAGCCTCTACATAGGTGACAACCCCTGTTCCACATGTAGACAGACATTTAGCAGTACATGATTTGGCTGGCACAGAAACAAAGTGAATTCAAGAAGTGGGGAGACAGAGCAGTCAGGCAAGTACTTTTAAGATTAGATGAATCAGGTTTTCATGACAAGGTACACAGAAAGAAAATAAAAAATAGACACTGAGCTTTATGAAATGATAAAAAGATCTCATAAGTTAAAGAGATATTTCTTGATCGTTCTTAGTCTGAAATTGAGCTGCTGCTCAACAAGAAAAATAGACTTTTTCAGATCAGTATTGCTCTAAGACAGTATTTTACCCCTTGCTATTTCTAATTTAAACATCTGTATTGAAGTACAGAAGAGGATCACTCTTATGAAACTGTGCATCCAAGCACGGTCTGGTGGAAAGACCCCTAAACTGTGGTACGTGTTTTCACTCATAAGCCGTGCCAAAGTGACACGTGGCTCAGCAGTGCTGATAGCAGTTTTGCCCACACAGTCAGCTGAAAAAAAGGAGATACAAATACCTTCAGTTCAGCTCATTGTGGCACTGTACGGTATGTCAGTAAAGAGAATTGCGCTTGATATGCCACTGCCCTACAGAAGATGGCACTAAAGATGTTTAAATTCTGGGAAAGGGTACTGCTACCTCCGGAGGCACAGCTTGAAGCAAGGAGAATTAAAATCTCTAGTTGTTTTCTGCATGGATGAATCGAAGGATTTTAGAATTAATTAAATAATAAAGAACATGATAATAAAAAGACTGAAGTTGTAGTTTGATCTCATGTTATATACTAATTTTTATTATTGTACCAGTTAGTGATTAGTGATTAGTGTTCTGTTCTGTTCTGTACTACAGCTAAGCACATCAGAGAAGGGAGCATAAGAACTGGTGTCAGGAAGTATTATTATTTCTAGCTTTGTAGGACGACACTGTGAGTCTAGTTTGTAGGAATGGAGGCACAGGAAGACTAAATATCTCGTCTTACCTAGGTTATATTGTTCTGAGAATAGCAGTGAGACTCTTGGCTGGTGTTTCACCCACCAGAACTAGCTTCCTCTGGTTCTTTCTGGTTCTTTCCTTTGGAAACACGGGAAATCTCCTAATACGACAACAAAAACAACAAGAACAACAACAACATA